ATTTCATTTAGCAAAGAATGAAGTTTCCAGTCCTGAGGGCTGTGGACATAAGCGTCAACCTGTGACGTTGGTGCACCCATTAACTCCTGAACAACAACAGGAAAAAAAAAAAAAAAAAAGACATTAAGAGAGCCAGGTACCAGTTTTTAATCTCATGATGCTGTTCAGCAGGAACCTAGTTAGTTCTGAGCTGCCTAGGTATGTGAATACCCAAAACACTGCTGACTTACACAGCTTATTCATTATTATTTATTTTTGCCCCTCTGAAACACACAGGCTCTGAATGACAGGGGGATATTTGCACAGTTTCTTTCATAACCGGCTAGTTTCATTTCTTTTTCCAGTGTGGCTTTTGCACAAAGCTTTTCCTAGAAGTCTGATTCATGTCCTGAAGAGCATGGTCACCTAGCGTGAGCAGAGAAGCACTCAGCGTAAGACAATGACTGATGGGAAAGGAAAGGAAATGCAGAACTAACCTGGCATTTGTCAGGTCTCAAGGAATATACAAGAGATGCGTTATGACTTTCCAATTTCTCTTCTATAGTTTTCATCTCTTCTTACTTTAAATCAGCCCATACATCCTCTTTATCACTTAGATTTACAGCTGTCAGTGCTTAGCAGACAGTACTGAGTTCTTCTCTGTAACAGGTATTTAATGATTATATTACGCGATCAGGGACTTGGCTGTCAGATGACATTTAAAATCATAGACTTTTAATGTTGTCAGCCCCACAATGACAAAACTCCCTGCAGTTGATAATGCTACTAAATGATGCTTTATTTTAGCTACAGTCTTCAGGAAGGATCTGTACAGAGCAGCAGAGGAGTTGCACAGCACGTTAGCAACATTAGAAACTTATCTGTTATTTGTGTGCCTGTTTGCTGTAAAAGATAACATAACCAAGGGCCTTACATGCTGTACAAAATAATTCTGTTGTGACACAAGAATGAACATTAAAAATCCATTTAAGGGTCTATCTGAAAACATAGGTTTTCAGAATAAATCAATATAATCCCCAAGAGTAAACCCTCTCAGAGATTAACACTTACTGTGTTTTCTAATTGGTATAACCCAGAAAATAGGAGTCGCTCGCTCCCTTCAAACACAGATGTTTACATTCCTCTTACGCTTTTATCACTAACTGCAGCAATCTTGGCCAGTGGACAAACAATACACTCCAGTTGCCATTACGTCTGGCAACAAGCCCATGAGACTACTCACACGCGTAAAATTATGTCAGTTTATGGCCGTTTGCGGGTCACATTGTCAAAGAGGGTCAGGCACCCTTTGGAAAATCCCTTCTTGTCTCCAAAAATTTACTTAAGGAGCAAAGCACAACACTTCCGCAGTAAAATAATACAGACAAATTTCAAATGCCTTTCGTGTCAAGTTGTAGTAATTTGCATGCACATTCCCTTCAGATTTTCTTTAATAAATGTCCCAAAGACATAAAACACTTAAGTTTGGTTTGCCACTTTCTATTATCCTCAGTCTTTAGCATCAGATCTCTTTTGCCTAAGGTCACAGTGAACACCTCAAGCTGTTCTAGGGCTGAAGAGACTCAACAGGGGGAGCTGAGTTTCTGAAGGACAGAAACAAGTGCAGGTTTTTTCCTGTGTAGGGAAATATTCAGAAGGTACTAAGTTATTACAAAAAGGCAACATTTTATACTTAAAGTGCGAGGGTTCTTACAGTAACTACAACGCGTTAGGACATCAGACCTCATTTCCTCCAGCCATTCTTTATACAGCTGAAAGAGACTTAAGGAAATGAGTCAAAATCCTGGAAGATGTTTGTACTACACAAGAAAGAAAACAACATCTGTAAAATAATGTGTGTCACATACGTACAGCAAGACAATGTGCAGCGCTTGATCTCTGCAATGGCATTCATCTTCATGGACACAGAGAGAAAAAAAAAACAGCTGAAAAGTGTCTTAACCTTGAGCGATTACTGCCTCTCTTCTACGAGACTGATATCAGATTGGATCAGTTGTCATGTATTGTAGATAAACATATATGTTGTTGAAACAATCTGATGCTGTGCAGTTCTCGTTTCATCCAGAATTTGTTATTCCTTACCCTCGGATTACACCAGCCTGTTTACTGAAAGTTCAGGCTAGAAAGAAGCTTTCCTTCAAACCACAGATGCGTAATATTTGGTATTTAGCTTGACAGCTACAGCTATGCCTTAAAAATCTTGTGAATAGATTAAAAACCAAGGAATTACAGTTAAGAATACAGCAGGCTGAAATGCAGAGAATACAGAGGTATCATTAGAGCCCCTTACTACAGACCGCAAAGTGAAAAGGCCAAGCTCTACTATGAGAAACTCCTCCTGACTGGGACATGACTCAGATGTTCCTCCTGAAATCTGCCCCTGGTTGGGGCTTACATGTGCTTAAGACATATCCTTTCTGATTCCACCTTTGTCCTGCTGCAACATGTCCCTGCTTGAGGTGCGTCAGGACCCTTGAATTGACCCACACACCTGCAAAGCAGTCTTATTGTTTTGGCAGGTGACAGTAGGTTCCTGGTAGAAAGCCCACTGAGAGCCAGAGTAACCCAAGCACGCTGCAGCTGCACTCGTCTGTCGACGAGAGGCTCTCGCTCACGAAAAGAGCACAGGGAAATGCCTCCAGTCTCTGTGAATGGTACTTAAACTGGACGCAAATGTGAGTCTCGCTTCTTGCCAAATTTATCCCAGTCTTCATTATGAAGCCTGAAGAAAAATCACTTAGGCACTTGCTCGGAGAAGGTTCCCAGTTGTAACGGAAGGAAAAGAGTCGAGTATTGAGCAATCTTTAACATTTCCACTCTGCTCCTGGCAGTGGCCTTGGCCCACGTTTATGCCCAGGGGAATCAGCACTGCTGCAGGGGAGGGAGGAGAAAAAGACGAGGAGAGGTGGAAATGGGGGAGTAGGGAGGGCTGGGTGTTCAGATGGGCTGAAGGGGTCAAGGCAGCGACTAAGCGACAGCAATCAGAAAACTCATCAAGTTCAGTCTTCCTCCTTCAGTCCTCCTTCCCCCCAGCTGACAGGTACCGGGGAGCATTATGAAAGCAGACATTCTTCCCTCTGGGCACGGGGAGAGCCTCCTATTGCTCTGCAGCTGACTGAAAGGAGGGTATATTGATGGATGCTGGAAGCAACCATGTCCAGTCTTCCATGACCGCGGGATGGAAATGCCGTGCAGGCTCTGGCAGAGCACGGGGGGACGGGGAGGGCCTCGGGGGAGGACAGGAGAGGCACAGAGAAAAGATCATTTCAGAAAAGTGCATAAAAGGAGGACCCAGCAATCCCCACGTGAAAGGAAAAGTGGAAGCATATGTTAGGACACAAGAAAAACAAAGAATAGGAAGGGGCTATGGACAGAAGAGATGAATGGCTTACTCCAAGCAGCTCCGTTAAGCTTTGTTTTCTACATCCTCCTTCCCTATCTGCAACCAAAGGAAGAAGCTCTTGACTAAAAGCCAAAAAAAAAAAAAAGATACTTAATATAAGTTTGCATGTGAATAAACAACAGGATAGCGGACAGGTCTGAATGAGCACCGTGGGAGCTCATCCAGCCATGCATCTGCAGCGAGGCAAGCACAGTGACGTGCTAACTCCAGAGCAGTCCTTGAGCAAGTCAGCTCTGCCAGGACACGAGCCTCTGGTCTGATACCTCCTCCTGTGGCACAAAACTAGCCCTCGATGTCTTATGGCTGTGATGCACAGGTGTTACACGCACCTACCCAAAGGTACTTATCTTTTTTCTGCAGCAAGTCACTTCTACCCACCACACTGTGTATTTTTGGTCTACACAAGTTTGCCTAACACGCCCCCGGGGTGAAATGTCTCCCACAAGTGTCTGAACCCAGAACCTGACGAAGGATGGAGAGAAAGTTTCTCCTTGCCCCTCCATACTCTCACGACCTCCAGGAGATGCTTCCAGCCTCCCAAGTTTTCCTTATGGACAGCTTAGCCATAAGAGGAAGGATAACCTTTAAGTTCATACAAGAAGTACACGAAGCAAAGAAAGTTGGTGGCTATTCAATTCTCACGTCCCAAAGCAGCGTGCTTACAACAGAGCCCCGTAAATCACCACGGGAGCGGTTCCAGGTTATTTTACCCAACACAGTGGCCGGGGGGAGGACAGACCCCGGTGGTGCAGCCCCCAGCATCTCCTCCTGCCTCTCAGCTCCGTGCCAGCTAGCAGGAGGCGCACAGCCCGTGCCTCCCCGCTCCGGGGCGTGCAGCTCACCAGCAGCCGCCTCCCCGGGCACCTGCCGAGCTCCGAAAGCCTCGTGCAAAGCCTCCCAGCACCGCAACCCCACGCCGCGCCTCAAATCTCCAGCCCTGCGAGGTCGAGCCGGGGGGGGGAACCCCTTTCGCCCAGCGGGCAGACGGGATCCTTCGGGTCCCCCGCCCGGCACACCGAAGTTTTGGCACCCCCGAAGCCCCTCTCGCTAGGAGGCGGCTCGGCTCTGCTCAGCAGCCCGGCTCCGACGCCTCTCCCCGGGGCTGCACCGAGCCGGGCACCGAGCCCACGACCCCCAGGCTCCCCCCGGTACCCCCGGGCGCGCTTCTCCCCGGTAGGGCAGCGCCGGGCACCTGCCGGCGGCGGCCGTCCCCTGCCTATTGTTCGAGCAGCGCTAAACCGCGGGGACATTTTGTACTGATGAAGAGATAGTTTATTGTCAAAACAGCCCGGCCCGGAGAGGTTGGGAGGGTGGGGGGGGAGGGAATGCTCCTAGCCCCCTCCCAACCCCGGAGAACCGCGCAGCGCAAACAAAGGACTTTTTTTTCCAAATTATGATTTTTATTCTTCCTACGGGGCGTCCCGCGAAAGCGACTGGGGTGGTGGTGGGGGGGCGATACCAAACGCAACCGGGCTCTCTGCCTCCCCCCTTCCCTTCACCTCTCCCCTCCCTCCCCTCCCCGGTGTCCCCTAAAGTTCCCCGCCACCACCCCCCCCCCTACCCAGCCTTCCTCCTCCTCCTCCTCCTCGGCTCCCACCTGCGGGGAAGAGGCTGAGCAGCAGCAGCAGCGCGGCGTGCGCCAGCAGCTCCCGGCCGAGGTGCGCGCCCTCCATGCCGCCGCCGCCGCCGGGCCCCCCCCGGCTCTGCCGCTCGCACCGCCCGCCGCTCCGAGATGCCCGAGCCCCCGCGGGAGGGCTGCGGACTACAACCGGCCCCGCCGCCGCCGCCGCCGCCGGCCCCGCCTCCGCCGCCCGCCTCCCCCCCTTCCCCGTCCTTCCCCGAGCCCCCCCCTTCCAACCCCGGCCCGCCCCGACGCCACGAGGATGGGCGCAGGTGGGGGGAAACGCCTCCCCCCCCCCCCCCCCCCTCCCCGAGGGGCAGGGAGAGGCGTCGGGAGCCTCGGTGGAAAGAGAGAGCCGCTCCCCAGCCCCTCCTCGACCCCCCGCAATTAATTATTTTTAAATTTTAGGGAATAAGGACCCCCCCCGCTGGGAGGGGTTGGGGTTGGGGGAGCCCCGGAGGGTGCACATGGTCCTCGCCCTACGGCCCCCTTGGCCCAGCCCTTTGCCCTCCCGATGTGGCCGCCGCGGTGGGGTGGCCCCTGCTAGGGGCCAGAAGTGAGCCGCAGGTGTGTCCCGTACCACAGGATAAAAGGTGGAAATAACCCGGTTTGGTACGCAAAAGAGAAGGCTGACAGGGAGCTTAAACGTGGAGGAAGAAAGGTTCTTACAAAGAGGATTGCGAGCAATTGTTTTTTTCACGTCCCTCAAGGGCAAGATAAAAAGTAATCCATTTAGTTCTCAGCAAAGACAAAAAAAAAGAAAGAAAGAAATAGCTTAAATGTTAGGAAAGCACTTGCAAAGGGGAAGGAGAATTTAGTCTCCCAACGCATCGTGGAGAGGTGGTGGAATCCCACAGAGGGAGTTTTTTAAGCACGGATGAGACAAGTGACAAGGAGGATCCGGGAGCACTTGCTTATTTTTGCAGCTACGGAGCCAGAGCGGAGCTGCTCTGCAGGCAGAAATAACGCAAACTGCAGAAATGTCTGCCTTAACGCTGCCTTAACGCTGCTTTGTCAGCCAGTGCCACTCCGCCGGAGCGAAGGAAGGCAGCACTGCGTGATCCTGGACGGTGCTGGCAGCGGGACAGCCCATGGCTGTGGCCAGGGTCCTGCTGGCAGCACCCAAGGGGGCAGCAGGGCAAGGCCACGACTGTTGGCACAGCCACAGCCGCGGCCCTGAGTGTACAGAAAGGGGTAGGGGACACATGGCAAAGCCCTCACCCGTGGCAAAACATAAACGTAGACTTCTTGAAACGTGTCAGTACAGATCAGAAAAGTTATTGAAGGTAAATTATTCATTATTTTTTTTTCTTTTCTTTTTTGGCACTGTCAGATTTTTTTCCAAGGTTAATAGCACTGTCCCATATGGTCCAGCATTAGATGAAAGTCTTGTCTTATATGTTTAAAATGGCTCTCTCAGTTTCTTTACTCTCTTTCATCTCTGACAGCCAGTCTCTTTTGATGGGTGAGTACTTCCCTTGCTGCAAAACGGAATACATTTTTGTTAGCACTCTGACAATTTCAAAATCAAACATCATTTTTAAGTCATATTTCTTACTAGGTGCTAGCCTCATCAAATTAATTCTGGGCAGTGAGGAAAAAAAAGAAAAAAAAAACTGAAATACTTAAAATTTTAGTGCACTCCAGATTTTCCATGTTCCTTTCTGTAGGAGAGAAAAAGGGACTTTTATACATGTAAATGCTTGGAACATTTACAGTTTAATTTCTTAAAGACACAAAGGCGGCAAAGAATATGCTATGAGAGGTTTCCCCTAAAACATTATCAAGGAACATGCGATGTTGTTTTTGTGACAGGTTTCTCCCTGCTCTGCTTGATTAGTGCTGTTTCGGTTAGTGGCCTGCCTTTATGTCCTGCACATCCCTGATCACATGAAGCTCAACTTGCATGGCCCTGCATCATGTGCTTCTCTCCACAAGCATTAGCTGAATGTTACATCTCAAAATCAGAATGGCAACAATATTCTCCATCTATTTTGCCTGGCTATAAATAGCTACCGTAAGAAGGAGACACAGGTGAATTGGCTTTAACCTTGCCACTTAATTTACTTATAATAATAATAACAGTAAACATAGTTGCCCTTTTCACCTTATCCCAATGTATTGCATTGAAAGCTGTAAGTTCTCTTGTCCATGTTCTTTCTGCATTATAGAAAGAAAATAATAACAAAAGTTTCTTAAACAGTGAAGGACTCTCTTAGTCCTTTTACTACTCCCGTCTGAAATATGTGAGCTTAAGAGCTTAACAAGGTTCTTGTCTGCATTTACAGCCAACCTCACACAACCCTCTAATTGTCCCCATAGCACTGTGGCCGTATGTTGGGATAGGTAACGCCATCTCCTCTCATTGCCTGCTGCAACCAACTTGCAGTAGGTGGATGTGCTAGAGGAAAAGGAGAGATCCACAGACTTTGCAGAGAATGGATACAGATTCGGAGATAAAAATGATAGGCTTGGAGAAATACCTGAAATCCTCTATTTGGAAAGCTGACTTCAGTTTGAAATCCTTAAAGTGATTTAACTTTTGTGGACCAGCTCCTTCAACTAGTCAATTCACAAGATTGCTTTTACACATCTGTGGGGCTGCTTACTGAAGTAAACATTGCCCAGATCGATAACATTCGTAAGATTAAGCTAATGTCATTGAACAACGGGTGACCTAATGAAGGACTTGCATTATTTCTATATCTGAATGAAAATCCATTTGGAAATTAACTAGTTTAATGGTTTCATATAGTTTATTTGCAAGGGCCATGAAAACCTTTTTATTCTAAACCTTTACAGCATAAATAATCTGCGGGATTTATTTTATCTATGGCATAACATATTTAATGGGAAGAGAGGAAAATGCCCTTCTGATACAGCCAATCGATGCCAGCAGGAATCCCTCCTGATAAACAGCAATAATGAGTCCTTCTATAAAGCTATATATTCTGTCTCTAAATTGCAGATTAATAGATTTTTCTGTGGGACATCGCTATTCCACATAAAATGGAAGCCCCAGCAAGGTAGGGAGCTCCAGAATTAACTCATCTGTGATTCCTGAAGGCTTTGAGAAATTATGAGAAACATCTATCGATTTACCAATGTTGTTGTAAAAGCTCTCTGGCTTAAACAGTGGCTTGTAAGTTTGCTTCACTTCTGTAAAGTGAAAAGTGATTCACTTTCTGCCTTCTGAGTTGATCTAAAACGGCAGCTCTGAAGCCTCGTTGTCAGGAACGTCATATGACCACCGTGCAGAAATTCTTATGCATCACTCTGCTCTATCTTAACTTTAATCCACAAAAGTGTATCTATGAATTATCCAAGCCTCTTTTATTTATTTATTTATTTAAAAATGAATTAAAAAAATAAAACAAAACCAAAACAACATGTGAAATCTGCTAGTCTTACCTGTTGCCATGGCAAGTTGTGTTCTGTCCGGGCCTGTTTTCTAGAAGGTCTGAGGTTTCAGGATGTCCCACTGCCTTTAGTTTTATTAACTTCCAATCTGCTGTATCCTCACACTGGAAAGTAAGGGTGGGTGAGTTGGGAGAACTGGGGGGTTTGACAGGCATATGTCTTCAGACTTCATCTATATATAGTAGGATTTTAACGTCTTTCATGCAGCTTTACAAAAGAAATTTCTGTTATTTTTAGCAGGAAAGACTCTAAAATTAATGCAGATGAAGTGGACACCTTTATCGCATTCCCCTCAGGAATTTGAGCCTTCAAATTGAATCCATTCAGTCTTACTAAAGTGGGAGGTATCTCTTACTCCCCTTTTAATCCAATTTTGTAAAATATTCTCTAAATCCCATTGTGCCCGTGATCTTAAATCTGCATTGCTATCCTAGTTAATTAAAGAGTTTTCCAGCATCAAATGTCAAGAGCCTAGATACAATCATCACTGAAGCTTGAAATATATGCTGTTTTAAAAGACATCTTGCATTATCACATGCACAGCACACTATTGTAAAAACTGTCTTATCAGTACAAGCTTAAGTGGAAAATAAAGGCTCTAATCTTCTCGATGGCATTTTTGTTAGTTTATAACCTACAATCTTACTAGGAAAAAAGATTTGTCTTTATGAACGGCTGAGTATGATTCTTGCCTTTATCACGTACTGCTCTGCTTGCCCCAGCCACTGCTGCGAGCTACAGCTGTAGGATTAGTTTGTAAAACTACTGTAACTCCGTGCACTACCTTAGCTTGAAAGGTCCTCTCAAGTGCTTTCTTGTCTTATTTCATTTTGTCACTGGGTTGTTTTTTTGAGCAAGTGTAACATACCAAATTACTTGTAGAGAAACATCTGATTCGGATTCCTGAAAAGCCTCCCCTTTTCTCAGCTAGCTGCTCTCTTTATCCTTGCCCAATCTCCCCTGTGTGGCAGCTTGACCTGAGAGCCCACGGAGCCTTTTCCTCGCCCTCTCCGCCTGCTCTGAACAGGATATTAATTCCTCGGTTGCTGGAAACGTATCCCGGCTCTGCATCTTGTGACAAGAACCAACTTTGCTTTGCGGTTCATAAAGAATCCTTCTGTGTTTTCTCACAGGCCTTTGTTGTATATGAAATCTAAATACATGTCTGGAAAGGGGCTTTGTCAGGCGTTTCTCTTCTGAGGCGATTAAAGCCACATGAGATCCAGTTGACTCCTTTGGCATTTTTGTTAAAATGCAGTGTTTTGCGTATGATTTTGGGGGTCAAATAAATAAGAGGCTGCATCCACCTGCATGTAAAGCCTATGACCCCTCCTTGGTTGAGATGGTATGTGTCTAAATTGCGCTTTGGAGAACAGGGAGTTCGTCATGTCTGTACGCCCTGTATAGATGAACTGAGAAGCTTGCTTGTTTTATCACTTCTTGCGTGTTGCATTACCTCTCCAAGTATCTGTGTTTACCATATTTTAATTTATCATTATCAAACTGTGTCAGAATTTGTTTGGGTCCTTCCGAGCCTTTCTGGGCACCTTCAAAGTTCACAAGGTCCGCTTTTGTTTACATCCCCATGTCATTTACGGAAATGTGCTGGCTGCCGTTTGCTCACCTCTAAGCTTGTCGCTAACCTGGGCAGTGCTTCAGGGGCAAATTCCTTCTCTCAACTCCCTCAGCAAGCACTTCTCTCACATGTCCAGCCTGAAGCCTTCAGTCTCTGTCAGGGGAGCATCATGTG